GCTTTTTTGCTGTTGGAACAGTGCATAAAACGTTTGTTTTATTATTATTTTTTTCGTTAGGACGTACCCTCATTGTTTTTAAAGTAAGATAAAATAAAGGCGTGTGCTTCCAGGAGCCAGTATGCAGTCATACATGGCGTCGTCTGATATGGAACCCCCTCTCTCTTTCTCCCTCTCCCTGCCTTGTCCCTTTTAATGGATGTAGCAGACGGGTTGTTTCACCCTGGGAAGTCTGTCCAGTTCTGTTATCTTTTAAGGCACCCTCCCCCTTTTTTTTGGTCTACGGTTCCCATTGTTAGGTGTGAGGTGTTAGTCTGGAGATAACTTCAGTGCAGACGTGGTGTTCCAGCCCGGTTGCGCTGATTTAACACAGAACACCCGTGGGTCTGAATAGCCGGTGTATAAAGAAGCCTACTCAAACTTATAGAAATTATTAACAATCACATGAATAGACAACAAACACGGAATAAGAAAAAGGGATCTTCAGTCAAAAGCAATAATCTACTTTCAGATTTAAAATAAATGTTAAAGACATGTTGGTATAATGAAACAAGAACATATTTAGTATACACAGGCTGCACACTCTGTGTTCTTCTTTGTATTGCCATTTTTTATATAGGATATATAAATCCATCTCTTTTAATTTGCCAGTTAGTAAACAGACTTTATAAATCCATGTCTCTCTGTCCTTCCTTCCATCCATCCAGTCAAAGTGTCGGACTTCGGCCTTGTGGGTGCCCACAACAACGCCATACGCACGAACTTCAGCACGCGGCAGCTGACGGAGTTGGAAAAGGAGTTCCACTTTAGCAAGTACCTGACGCGGGCGCGGCGCGTGGAGATCGCTGCCACGCTCGAGCTCAATGAGACACAGGTGAAGATCTGGTTCCAGAACAGGCGTATGAAGCAGAAGAAGCGCGAGCGGGAGGGCGCATCCGCCACGGCGCGCTCCTCTTCCTCCTCCTCCTCCGGTACCGGCGGTGGATTTAACAAGGACCTGGAGGACACCGACCACTCCTCCGCGTCCACATCTCCAGGCGCGTCCCCCAGCTCGGAAACGTAGTGAGAGGCAGGGATTTGATTAGTGACCTACAGTCTTCTACTACTGAGTGACCCACTATTTAATGCAATTTACCGAATGTACTAAACCATAAATGAATTATATTCCTCCAATAACCAGCCTGCCTCATCTACTTCAGCGTTAGGCTACTGATCTCCTACATGTCCCAGAATTCATTCTGACAACCCTTCATTTGGACTTTTTTATTTCCTAGATTTCCATCGAAACAGAAAAAAAAAACTGTTGCACCCTGCTACCTTAATAAAAGCCACTTGTTCTGGACTATCTTCTGCTTTTGTGGTTGTCAAAATTATTACAAAGAAGCACTACAGCTGGATTTAGACAGTTAGACCACCACAGCTGATGTTTTTGACAGCAGGAACTGCTAATGTGTCATAAATATACAGGACCTAAGGTAGGCCAACCAATAATAAGAGCAACAATAGATTATGTGGTTGGTGATGTAACATGCTCCAAGTGGACATCTTGATAAGTTTGAAGGGTCACAGAAAGAAAATCTGTTTTCAAAGGAAAATATTTCTATTACACAATATTATGGTAATGATTTTGATTTTTTTTTTAGGTGAAAGAAATGCAAGCTTTTACATCCTCTGGTCTTTTTTTTTACACAAAACTGTCTGAGAAGGAAAATTTACAATGATTACAGCTGTTATTTACACTAAGGTCATGACCTTTACTGTTAGGTAACACGAAGCCTTTGCTCAGTTTTAAGGGGTCAGAAGCCAAAATGGTTCTAACCACTGAACTGCTCAATCGTGGACAAAAACCTTCTGAAGTTTAGGACTGGCACATCTCTTGTTTTCTGGATTCTTACCTGAAGTGGGAAGTCGAGAGCTTATTTGAAATGTAAAATGATTTACATAGCATTTTAGTGTACTGGGTGATGATGATGATGATGGTGGATGCGCTTTGTCATCTTTAAGTCATGTCTGAATTACAGGCTTTAACTGGTATTGGGTTTTTGAGGTGGAAATCACATTTCCTTCCTGATACTTTGTCAGTGGTTTCAGTTTTTCCCATTGTGCCATTCAGTGTAATGCAAATCAGCCTGTGGCATCACAGGACACTGAAAGTCTCCAATGAAAGCCTTCATAGCTGAACACTGGGCTACATCCTCTTTTTGACATAAGGAATGAAAAGATGTGTAAAAGATTTTGACAAAAGTGTGGCCTATCCTTAAGCTACACCGGTCTGAGCCCAGCCAGCCTAACTACATGAGCCTTATTATGAAGAATGCAGGGAGCCTCTGATGGCTAAAATACATTTTTCTTTCATTTGTTTGTACTGTAGCTGTATTGTGTTATTTCTGAATGTATGAATTGTTGATCTGTGTGTATGTTTCATCCCACGCAGCTCAGGCCTTTGCACTATGTGACTACAGGGTAACATTTCAGATGGTGTTCAATAAGACTTCCAGATTTTATGTAACGTTGATGTCCAAGCTCAAAAGCATCAAGCCACATGTACTATTTCCTTTGGGATTTTGTGAATGAAGACACAAGGCTCTGATGATTTACATGGCTAGGTCTTAGCTAGGCTCAGGGGTTAATTTGGGGATGTGTGTGCATGTTTGTGTGTGAGTGTGTGGAGCAGGGTCATGAAAACTACTGAGAAACTGCTGAAGCCAGTCAGACACACATGCTTCTTGCTGGAGAAAACAAAAAGCAATTTACTGTATATTTTGCTGCCTGTCCCCCATGAGAATAAATTATTGGATGGATTTTATGTTAGTGACTGTAGATTATGAGAAACACTGTGTATGTGAATAGGGTGTTTTCCCTGGGGACAGCTTTTCTTGTTTCTGATGAAGGTCACAATAGTGAAATATTACAAAATGTGGACAACGTTATTGCTAAATAAGACTGAATTTGATTTCTGCAAATTGAAAAAAGAAACAAGTTAACTGAAGTATACTGTATTACTGGAATCTAAATAGTGGTCCAGATCATATGAGTTAACTGCTTCCCTTCCTTAAAAGATGCTGTCATTGTCATTCAGGAGTAAATCATATGTGCGATTTTGTCAGGTTTAAAGTTGGCCTCTAATGTGAACTGTTGTGACTGGTATTTTGTAGAATGTCTGTTTTGAAATGAGAGCCGACTGAATGACATTTATTAGTTTTGCTGCCTTAGAAACACAACCAATCATGTTCCTGTCTGTGTTTTTCTACTTCAAGCTACCTCAATTAAAGTGTCTTCTGTCCAATCACCTTGAGACTTTTTTTTTATACTCTTCTAACTGGCCATAAACTGTTTAGTATATGATAGAAATTATTACATTTCTGAGTTACATGCTTCTGAAACATCCAGCGTGCCCCAACATCAGCTCATATAAAACATCTGTGAGTCTGCATGATATATGCTCCATTCCATTTACCTCAGAGGTCATAAGTCAGAGCTGGGAATGACATCACACCTGAGTTGACCGCATTCCAGTACGTCAAGTCGGAAAGCCAACGTGGATGGTGTTTGCTGTTGTTAGCCACTGTTAGCCACTTTTATTAATGCTACTTTATAGCAATGCATTATGGTGTGTCAGCACATACAAACATCATAGCAACAAGCCAACAGACAAAGGTTAGATGGTACTGTTCGTCTGACTGTTATAGTAAGACACAAACTTGACAGAAGTGCTAATAAGCAATATATTACTATGGCTTTCAAGACTGTTGATGCGCCATGCAACCATCTTTGATTTTAAAGTAGAGGTTGGTGTTTTTCCTCTGACGTTCTGAGTAAGATCTCTGACTTCAGTGAGTGTTCCAGTTAAAATTTTCAACAGGGAACTTGGAAATTCTGAATTCCAACTTCAAATGAAATGCAGCCTAAAGCATAAGATCAACATGTTCAGGGCCTTTATGACCTGACATGACAACCCTAGTTATAAGACCCTCATTAGTTCATACAGTAGTGAGCAAACGTCTTAGGCCGCCATTAGATTAGTTGTTTTAACAATGTTATGATGATTATATATACTTATTTATCAGAATACAACTAGAAAAAACAGAAAATATGTACAGAGTATTAAAAACACAAACAATCAGTACATATACTGGATACTCAGGATGTGGTAGTCAGGCTTTTCTAAAGACATCTGAAGAATCCAGAGAGGTCGAGGACAAAAACAGGAGTGGAAGACCAGGAAAACTGTTAAAATGTGATGAGACGTTTCTACAGTTTCTTCTCTGACACCGGAGGAAATCCAGCAGTGACCCGGCTCAGCATCTGGCAGCTTCGTCTGGATGCCAGGTTGGTTCTTCCACAGTTTGAAGAAGCCTGATCAGGAACGGCCTCAGTGGAAGGACAGCAGCCAAGAAACCACTGTTTCAGAAGGGGGACGGGGAGAAAAGGCTGAGCTATGCAAAAGGTCCCAAAGATTCCAGTGAAGATCCGTGGAAAAGAGGATTATGGAGTGATGAATCAAAGTTTGAAATGATTGGGTCTAACTATGGACAGTATGTGAGAAGAAGAGTTGGAGAGAGGTTGCAGGACGTGTGATCGCAGCCTTACGTGAAACGTGTTGGAGGGGACGTGATGGTCTGTCATGGATTCAAGACTTCAGGACAGTCTCCCCCAAAGAATTCAAGCTGTGCTAAGTGCAAAGGGAGGTTACACTAAATACTGACTTTAGACTGTGGAAGGCAGTTTGTTCTCAGCATTTTGTGTTTTGTAATATTGTGTATGTATTTCCTGTATTTTCTGGTTATATCTTAATAAATAGACTGAAAAATAAAAATAAATTATCATTACAACCTTGATAAAACTGCAAAACTAATGGTGGCCTAAGACTTTTGCACAGTACTGTAGTTGTGCTTACATGTGTCATATTCCTAAATGAATTTGTATGTAATTTACCATACAGCAAACCTGGGCCCTATTGCTGAAATACTCAGTCAGGATAAGTTTTACCCTGGGACCACTAGGAGGTTAATCTGGTCATGGCTGTGAGAGCAGAGCAGAAGACGTGATGGAGAACTGATTGGCTGAATTTGCAGTAGCACTTTGTTGAAGGAGCAACATCAGTAGCTTTGTTTTGTTAACAAATTCCAGGAAAATGCCCAAGCCTGATTAATCCACAGCTGTCCAAATGTACTGGGAGGCTGCTATAAATTCTACACGTTCCTTCCTCCCGAAACATGTTCCATGTTCCAAAAATGATGAAAAATTTGAAACACATCGCAGCAGACAGAAGAGGAGTGGTAAACATCAAGTAAATGAAAAGTCTGACAACCCAGAAACATGCCCTACACCCCTTGAAGAGACTGAAGTCAGAGAGAAAAAGTGATGCTGAGAAAAAGGAAATGATTAAGTAGGAAAAGGAGCTGGTTGTCTTCCTCCTCGTGGATTAAAGACACACAGCGTTTGACATAACACAACATACAGAGAGCTTCATGCATTTCAATAGCAGTGAGGTCTCTCACATTCACATAGCTGCGTGGCCTCTGGATGACCCACACGCACACACACACACACCCGCAGGGCTACAGTGAGGAATGTAGTGGGGCTTTCCAGGTGGCTTTGCCGACCCGTTGACCTTTAGAGAGCCTCTGGGATATCTAAACATGTAAACACACTCCTCCTCCTCATTGTCATCTACTGCTCCTCTCTGCTGCTCTGAAGGTGCCCATCCTGGAGCCTGGGTGGCAAGCTCAGTCATCACCTCATCACACTCACACTCACACACACACACTGGACACAAGCCTCCCTCGGATCTCCTTCCATGGTCACAAAGACATGAGCATTTACTAGTCAGGGAGGGTCCATTGAAAGCTGCTATTCAATGCATTGCATTATGGGAAGTCAGAGCATTTCTATCTCTTGGCCTCACTTTAGACTACTGTGTTTTTTAAAATTTGTCTCTTGTAGATTTCCTAGCTGGTTGAAAGTTTAATGCCTGAATCCCTCTCCACTTGTAGTTTGACACACATTTCCATTACTTTTTAAATGGGGCAAGATGTAAGGGGGCAGGAGGCTGGAGTTATAACTCAAGAGACTAACAAGTGTGTTAGCCAGCTCAGAATATTAGACAGGTTCACACCTCACAATAAATGTTCAGCGCCAGTGCAGGAAGCAGTGTTCTTAGTAAGGTGGAGGGCTGCGGAGTTTGGATCGATGGATGGCTGCGCAGATCATCAGACTTTCAAATTGGAGGCACAGCTCCTGTTTGCAGTGAACCCATGTGTATACTGATTATGATCACTGGTATTACTACATACCATCCACATTTCTAACCATGGTGTCTGGAAGGCAAGCTCTGTGGTTACAACTGAGGTTTTCGCTGAGTTCTAAGCAGATTGTTGTGATCTTCATCTGCGATAAACAGTGGAGATGTCCAAGATGCTGATATGTCTGCAAAATGTAATTTACCCTTAAACTAAAAATCTATGCATCATGACTTCATGGTC